ACATATATATTTTTCCTCTTACCTTTAGTGTGAGATGGCTGCCTTCTCTCGAATACGGGCTAATAAAACTAGATGGCAACAAAGAAAAAACATCTGAAAACTCTAGGGCTGCCCCCGACTAAGAATTTTCCTAGTCAACCAATGGTCATCATTTAGGGCCATTAGTCGACTAGTCGCCCACATGTTTACTATATTAATTTAATTATTAAATTATATATTGGCGGGGCAGCGCAATGGTTTGAGTTGAAGGTGTGAGTTAACACTGTGCTACATTACAGAGCAATACAAAACCGTACTAATGAACCTTCATCAATATAGGCCTATATTTTATCTACAAGTGCACGTCACACACTGAGCGAGCTGCCTGTTAATGATGCTGTCGGCAAAGCAGTAATGATTGTGCTAAGTGGCTAATGGGCATGTAGCTACTGACATGTTTCAGATGATACGTCATGTATGTAGTCGACCAATGAAGATGAGTTTATATATCACCTTGGGTTCGTCCTTCACCTTCTCAAAATGACCCCACACTTTGGATTTCCTGCCCGACATATTATTAACTAGCCTGTCTAATAACCGCAGGTACCAGTCCTGGAAATTACCTGACTCCTGTCTGACTGCTGAGCTTGGCCACTTCCTGTGTCTGTCCTTTCAAATTAAATTCCAACATGGTCCATTCACATAGGTTTTAATTCATTTTGACATGGTGCAGCTCCTGATAGAGTTTTACGTTTGTTTTGTTATTAAGTGACCAATGAAATTTTGCCAACTAATGACCTTCGACTATTAGGGGGCAGTCCTAGAAAACTAAAAAGCAAAGTCTCTTTTCAGAAATCTTGACCCAGTTACGCAGAAGTAATCCACAGACCTTGTTGTGAGCAGCTTCATGTAGAAACTATTGTCTTTCTACCGGACGACAGCTGCCAATTGTATCAGCGCACAGAAGGAAGCGAGCATCTACTGCTAGCTCACCTAGCACCACTAAGCTAGCTAACATTACAGCTCAGCTGAGGGAGCGATTTATGTTACCATCTTGTACTATCACAAGCAGAAGTTGCGTTAGACTTTCTCATTGTCCCTTATTTAACAGACAGGGTCATAAAAACACCATCATGACTTATTATTACTTGTCAATTTAATTTGGATTTTTTTAATGATAATTTACTTATTAAAATCATTTAATTGTCATTGTTTAGTAATACAGAATAACCTTTTATATCATCTATTATAAGAAGGGGTGTGCTATTTGTTAGTACCACAGTGCACTTATGATGCACATACATGCATGCAGTTAAGTTGTGGCTCGTTTCGAAGGTTACGTAACTACTGTTGCTACAGTGGTAAGACTACATACATTGGCCAATGTACTTTTATTGAAAGGATGTTTTGCTTCCTTTTCATCTTTACTAGTTAACAGATAATTTAACTCTGTGCCACTCAAAGGTTATTGGCAGCTACAAGCGATTTTTAAGTTGTAATATCTTCTTGCGTGCTACCCAATGCACGAGTTGGCACTGCGAATCAGTCATCACACCTTAAATGTCAATTTGACAACTTTCACTGTTACATCTGTTTTCACTGTCTCTCTTGCAAGATATATTCTTTAGTGATGACCATCAAGCGCTTAAAAATGTATATCAATTGAATATTCTGTTTCCCCATTTGGGGAAAAAAAGTGGTGGAGCATCATTCCAGTATGCTCTGCAGAACTACACTCCTGTTTATAAGGGCATGGAGGAAAAAGATGAACAGAGACACTGACTGTGCAAAGAAACTTCAGACACTTAGCTGCCATGACATTTTTCAATGGTATGTAGCAGTATAGCATACTAATGCAATGGCTAAAGCCAACTAGACAATGACGCATACATATGAGTTTAACGACAAGACTAGACAATAGCTAATCAATATGCCATGCTAACTACTGAACAGGGGTGTCAGTTACTTAAAGTTCTGGTAATCTTAATCGCCCTCAGTGTTCTTATCTGTCAAAATGACTGAATTTAGTTATGCAACTTCTGGTCACAAGCATGCGCCTCTAGTCCATGAGTAGATACACACTTCCTTCTGTGCAGTAATACAGTTGGTGGGAGTAGTTTGGTAGAAAGAAAATAGTCCCTACAAGAAACTGCTCACAACAAGGTTGTGGATTATTTTGAGTAACCAGGTCACGACTTCTGGAAAGAGACACTGCTGTTGAGTTTTTCAAAACTATTTTTTGAGGCTATGAGCACCACAAGCCGAGTGCCATCTTGTTCCATTATATTCAAGAGAAGGCAGACATCTCTACAGCCAATAACGCCAACACTCCACACTAAAACAATCTAGATTGATAAAAGCACTACAGGTAAGAGTAAAACGTGTATTTTTGATTTTCGGGTCGGGTTTTTTCGGGACTGTCCATTTATTTCAATATGTTTTTAGTCAACAATCCATTCTTTTTCTCTGTAGGGCTCTAATCCCTGAGTGTCTGACTGATAAAACCACCTCTCCTTGCCCTGGCTTGGAACAGGATGCAGCCATGTTCAGGCCTGATAGGACACGACGATGCCATGACATAGGAAATGCAAGGCATGTGTCCTGGAGATACCTTGATGCAGGAAGCAGACACAAACTCAGATACAGCAGCTGGGATAAAGACAGCTCTCCATAGTCACCTCAATCACTATAATCTCTTTTATGTGCTTTATAATCAAGGTTTTAATGGACTAATATCATGATTCACCTTCCAGTCTACCAACTGCCCCAAAAAGAGCCCTCAACATCTTAGAAGAGGTCTTTTAATAGACAGAGGAGGCCCATATCGTTAGATAAGATAAGCTTTATCGTCCCTCAGGGTAATATTATCAAACAATTCCAGTCATCGAGACTATTCTAGTGCCAACTTCCTGTGGCGGAGTCTATCTGTGTCCTGGATGCCAGGCTGAGAGCATTCCTGTTGCAGAGTTTAACAGGCAAACTATTAGTCTTCACAGCTGGCAGGCAGCGCTGTGGGCGAGGGAGATTGTACATCTAGCCACACAGGAGGTTTAAAGGATCATTACAGTTTATCACAACTGCTCTGATGCTCTTTTTGTAGGTTTGGCTATAAGCTCTTTTGGCCATGATAACATTGTATTCACCAAATTAACTGCTGAGATCTGGCGATAGGAGAGCCGTTTGGAAGAGAAAATATAGGGGAACAGTAAAATTAGTGCCCAGCCTTTTTACACATCCATCGCAGATTACAGACTGACTTTGGGGTTTAACTTTGACCTGCTGCACTTGTAGTAGTTGTACGAGTACACACTTTGCCTTTATAATGGGGGATTATTCTGGACATTATGGGTGCACTTATTCTTGGTTTTACCCCAAAGTGGTTTAGATAATCAGTCGGTTAGTTTATGACCTGTCGGAATATCTTGCTGCTTCTATTCATTGCCCCGTTGAAGAAATGTCAACCCTGGTTTCAGATCTCAGAAGGTAAACTGGTGGATACTGTCATAAATACAGCATTTCGACAGTTACCATAAATAACAAGCAACAAAATAAAACCAGATTTGTCCTTAAATTGCACAGCAAGGTTAAGTGATGTGACTGGAACCAAATCACAGGCACAAGAAGTTAAGATCAAGAATTAAAAAACATGATGGCACACATTTTTCTGCAGTACTGTACCACAGGTACCAAGGATACAATCCCTTCAGACCTGGCGTCTATTCTGCCCTGAGCACTGCACATTTGTCGTTTTTCTTTTATTTTTCTGGTGGCCACGAACTGAAAAATGTTCAATTCTGGCAAACATCTCACATTTACCAGTGCTGATCAACAACAACAACAACAACAAAGGAAAAATTTGTTAATACACTGTAGGCTGTATATTAATATACTATGTTTCCTCGCCCACAAAATCTCGCACACATAGACAAGTAAATTTGCGTTTAAAGCAGATCATCAGGGATTAATAATACAATTTAAATTTAGTTTTTGTTTTTAACTGTGGCATCCAATTGGGTACCACAGTAAAATGCAATTTCACTGGTGTTTGTGTCAACCATTAAACTGTTAGCCACACAGGCAGCCCACATGGACTGAATCATTTATGCAACATCATCACAGTTATTCTCAACGGTGTTGCTTTTTTAAAAACTATATTCTTGCTGTCTCCCGGTCTCACTCTTGACTCCCCTTGTCTTGGTACCGACAGTTACTCATGTCCAGGCTGTAAC